TCAAACAAAAACTGATCCTACGGCAGCGCGAACGGGACGGCGAGATCCGCGTCACTGCATTACCGACCCGAGGGAACCAGCACGTTAAGTTTCAACGGCATGGCGGCAGCGCGAACGAGACGGCGAGATCCGCGTCACTGCACTACCGACCAATCACGCGACCAGTACTCGACGCCACTACCGAATAAGATTCAAAACAAACAGCAATTTTTATGAAAACATATATTTTATAGTACTTACGAATGAAAAGTGATACCGTGGGTTTTATTTTTAGTTCTTGAGCAATTTGAGCACTTTTTAAAAACACACTTAGGCATTGTTTTATCATATAAACACAAAATATTAGCAATATTTCTTTTTGGCGTTCACATGTACGTCGTTTGCATGTCAAGTTGTGACTAAAGCGATTAGGGTCGTGGACCACAATTGGTGCGTATCACTTTTGTGAGGCTAGTGCCGTATCTACCCTTTTTGTTTTAATCTAAGTTGGAAACCAAATTATCTTATTGAGTATACAAAAGTCTAATGTAAATTTTTATTAATCTTTTGTAATTTTTTATTAATCTTTTACAAATATGTAATAGCTTTTACCGATTGAGTGACGGTTCACCTAATTTTAGTACCCCTATCACTAACCATTATTGAATTCGTAACGTCCGCGAGTTCGAAATGTCATTGTCAAATGTCTACTGATTTCGTGGCGCTGCTGTTCAAGTTTTTATACAAAATTTGACATTGACATTGCGCACTCGCAAACTATTCGAATTCAATAGTCGTTCGTACTAGGGGTACTGATCTACTTCAGTAAATGCATTGTGACAAAAGTAAATTGCTTGGCTACCAGATTAAAGGTACATAATGCAACACGTGGTATACTTATTATTGACTAGCTTCCGTTCGCGACTTCGTCCGCATTATAGTTAAGGAAATTGCCTAACTCAGTACCTAATGCAACAAAAGAAATAGAAAGATATGCGAATTTACAGCTTGCTTGTTGATTATTTAAAAATCTGAAAGGAATCGAACATTAACGGAAAAGTATCCTACTACAAACTTTGGCGTTTGTAATATTAGATAAAGTCTTCATCATCAATTGCGAATCACTAGATGCCACTAACACTTGCCGCTAGTAAATGCACGAATTACTATCAAAACTGTGCATTTAACTTTGAAGGCTTCCTTCTGTGGCGGCAACATCTACATGTCCCTTCTTCTTCTTCTTAGTCGTTCACTCTTGTCAGAGTGGTCGTGGTCATGTGCCGGTCAGAATATTGCGCCACCGCTACCTTCGTGATGCGACGCCATGTTGCTCTGTGTTTTGCAGAGTGGGAGTTGTCGTTGATGCTGGATCGTGTGACAGATTTGATGAGATCCGTCCACCGTGTAGGAGAGCGTCCACGTGATCTTTTGCCCTCGACTTTGCCTTGCACCATCAATCGTTCCATAGATTCCTCGTTACGGGTAATGTGCCCAAAGAACTTGAGGATACGTATTTGCACAGTCGACGATAACCTCTTTTTAATTTGGAGTTCTTTTAGAATCGAAACATTGGTTCGGTGCGCAGTCCACGGGATGCGAAGCATGCGTCTCCAGCACCACATTTCTAGAGCGTCAATCTTGCGACGGTCTCGCATCCTCAGCGTCCACGTCTCAGCTCCGTATAGAAAGATTGGAAAGACCAGGCATCTCATTAGTCGAACCTTTGTGTTTCTGGTTATTCTGCGGTCCTTCCAAATCTTGGTGAGTTTTTCCACTGCGGATCTAGTTATGGCGCAACGTCTCCGGATTTCGTCCTCGCAACCTCCAGCGTTGGTGATCGTGGATCCCAGATACACGTAGCTGTTAACCACCTCGCCCACATATATGTAATTAACAATACAATAATACAATACAAAAACTCTTTATTGTACACCACAAAAAAAAACATTGAACATTGTACAAAACCATCTAGTACACGTGATGCAATGGGCAGCCTTATCGCTTAAAGCGATCTCTTCCAGGCAACCTTTTGATGGAGAGGGTTAGAAGGAAGTGGGAGAGACGGCGGTGTAAATCGCTAGTAAAATATATAATATTTTTAGTATATACATACATACAACATACACACACACACACATATATATATATATACATACATACAATAAGTTTGAGAGGAGCTCGATGGCGCAAGTGGTTAGCGCGTTAGGCTGCGGTCGTTGAAGTTAAGCAACTTTCGCATTGGATGGGTGACCAAACATTTACTATCTCGAACCCCTCCGTGCTTCGGAAGGCACGTTAAGCCGTTGGTCCCGGCTGCATCTGTAGTCGTTAGCACCCACCAATCCGCACTGGGCCCGCGTGGTGGTTCGTGGCCCAATCTCCCTATTCCATCCATAGGGAAGGCCTGTGCCCTAGCAGCGGGGACATTAATAGGCTGATGATGATGATACAGTAAGTATAAATACAAATACATACATTGATCTAGTCCAGTTAGGAGGCAGTTGTAAGCACATCAGATATTAAAATAAAAGTATTACAATGTCAGAAAATGGGAATTCAGACGGTTTTTAAATGTATAAATAGTTTCTGCACGCCTTATCGAAACCGGAAGAGAATTCCATAGATGCACAGCTTGCACTGCAAACGAACGATGGAAAAAAGTTGTGCCGTGTACGGGAGTCATAAGAGCAAGATTTTCTGATGACCTTAAAGATAACGTTGGAATTGTGGCCACAGTAAAACGGTGACAACGTAGACCTGCGCGCGTGGTCCTCTGAAGGAAAGGGGAAGGTGGGATAAGAGAGAATAACTCTTCAGAACACTCGCCGTGGTACAGACGATAGAACGCGCTTAGTGACACCACGTCACGGAGTAATTGAAGAGGCTCAAGGTGTTTAGTCACCTCCTCATCGCCTATTATGCAGATCGCGCGCCGTTGTAACCTATCCAAAGCATCGAGCAAGTACTTGGCGGAGCCATCCCAGAGGTGCGAGCAATATTCCACGCAAGACCGCACTTGCGTTTTGTACAACAAGCACAGTTGATCGGGCGTGAAAAAAAACGCCGCACCTTGTTCAGGACTCCGAGTTTGCGTGAAGCTGTTTTGATCAACTTGTATTATAATAGCGCGTTCAGTACTAGCATAAAGATCTTCTACCATTTGCCTGCAGAAATTAAAGCACTCAATTTGCCACTGTTTTAATTTAAGTTAAAAAGTTGTGCCGTGTACGGGAGTCATAAGAGCAAGATTTTCTGATGACCTTAAAGATAACGTGTTAGAATTATGCAGGAAATTAAAACTTTCCTTACGATAGCGCGGGGACTTGGGATTGAACAATATGTTGTAAAGAAGACAACGAAGCAAGACTTGGCACTCCATGACAACAGATGGCGCTACCAGCGTTGCACTCAAAAAGTATGGAAGATAAGATAATATATGCATACCTAGAATACACAATCACTTCTTTTCTAAAGAAAAGTTTACTAGAAAAAAATCCACGCTGACTACTAATATGCTACCACGGCCCTATTAGCCGCGTCGAAATTTTCCTAACCTTAAGCTGCAAGGCAGCGCCATCTCTTCGCATTGTAGGTAACCCACAATGTCAAATGAATACTTTTTCAAGTATTAAACATTTGAAAGAAGAAATAGCAATTATAGTTATGATTTTATTTATTTCTTAAGCATTTAACTGCTAGATGTTTAAATCTAAAGATAAGTTTACTAGAAAAAAATCCACGCGGACCAGGCAGCGGACGGGACTCGAACCCGCATCCTTCGCTATCCGGGCGGGCTTTTTTTTTCTAGTAAACTTTTCTTTAGATTTAAACATCTAGCAGTTAAATGCTTAAAAAATAAATAAAATCATAATCACTTTTTTTTTATAGATAGGTTCGACAAGGATCCCAGGTTGTAAGAGGGAGGGAACACGTGAGCGGGCAGAGCATTCCATTTACGGATAGTGCGACAAAGAAATGAGTCACCAAATTTCTTTGTACGCGTTGGAATTGTGGCCACAGTAAGACGGTGACAACGTAGGCCAGAGCGCGTGGTCCTCTGAAGGAAATGGGAAGGTGGGATAAGAGAGAATAACTCCTCAGAACACTTGCCGTGGTACAGACGATAGAACGCGCTTAGTGACGCCACATCACGACGCAATTGAAGAGGCTAAAGGTGTTTAGTCACCTCCTCATCGCCTATGATGCGGATCGCGCGCCGCTGTAACCTATCCAAAGCATCGAGCAAGTACTTGGCGGAGCCATCCCAGAGGTGCGAGCAATATTCCACGCAAGACCGCACTTGCGTTTTGTACAACAAGCACAGTTGATCGGGCGTGAAAAAAACGCCGCACCTTGTTCAGGACTCCGAGTTTGCGTGAAGCTGTTTTGATCAACTTGTATTATAATAGCGCGTTCAGTACTAGCATAAAGATCTTCAATCATTTGCCTGCAGAAATTAAAGCACTCAATTTGCCACTGTTTAAATTTAAGTTAAAAAGTTAGTTACTAAATAATGTCTTCTATAGTCTTGATGAATATTACACTTGTAAAACTAAATATAATTTAGGCTCTAAAATGTATTATTTTTAATTGAAGATAGTTTTAAGTTATCATTGCATGTCCGTTGTAGGCATACTGTTGTGACTTCGTTTATTATTGCAATTCCAACTGCAAAATTGTGTACAGTTTTTAAACAACAAAATTTATTTTTATTTCTATAAACCCATCCGTTTACCGGCAATTCCGAAAGTTTCTTAACTTTTCGATCGCAGATAGAACTCGCAAACCAGTTGCACCATCGACCTCTTCATTCTAATCTAAAGATTTTCTAATGTACCGAGGTACTAATGTACCTATGAAATTATGAAGGTATATTGTCTAAGTAAATTCGTTTATTTGCACACAAGCTGATAATGATAACGAAACGCTATTTTGTATAATGATTTGCAATATTATATTTGAAGCGAAGGCGCAGTATCTTCGTAATAAAATAGATAAAATAATATTAGGTTAATATAATGGGAGACGGAACTTGGTACGCGAATAATAGTGTTTTCCACCCGTTCATGAACACAGTGATTTAAAGTAATACCGTACATGAATAGAGTGTTCTTTTAGAAACTAGCGTAGAATAAAGTTGTAAAATTTATTTTAGTTAATTAAAGTAATAAAGTTAATTTTGCAAAATGATGAAAATCGACAAGGTTCCCTTTGAGGAGGCTCTCAATTTAACAGGTATTTTTAAATAGCATCATTACTTTTTTTTATTTTTTTTTATTACCATTTTTTTATTCATTCAGGTAATTTATTTAACATAAATTATATTAAAGTTGTCACAATATACATTAATACTCGCCTACTTAAATAAAATTTTATTTTTATTTCGACATATAGTTAATATCGTAATTTATACACAAGTACAAGTTGGGATATAAGCAGAAGAGCTCTGTATTTATATATGTATAAAAATATAGAAACCTAGTCGGTGAATACTATCTACAGTAATTACTTATAAAAAATTAAATACGTACAATAATTCTACAAACTTGTAAATAAGTGTAAGCACTTAAAATACTTTACCGAATTCATGCATTTTACATAAGTTTTCTGACACTAAGTAAAATGTTCTTACGCATCAAAAATTGAGAAAGTTGTGCAAAATTAAAGTAGATAAACGGACGGACGGACAGCAGACGGAGCTGTGAGCGGATTTTTTTTAATTTTATGACCTTGTAACAAAGACCTTTAGGTCATAACTTATTTGGAAAATGTTCATTACTTTGGAGTCACTACTTTTCGCTTCACAACATTTCATCATTTAAATTGTTTGAATTGTATTTTTTACGTAATTATAAATAGGTTTATAGGATGTTGGATCATTTAGTAAAACATTTTGATACAGAGCACAGATAATTTGACGACCTCCGTGGTCGAGTGGTTTGTACGCCGGGTTTAATGGTGTCGCCGACTCGAGAGGTCCCGGGTTCGAATCCCGGTGGGGGCAGATATTTGTGTGATGAATACGAGCATTTGTACTCCAGTCATGGATGTTTAATATGTATTTCTATATCAATATACTTATATATGTACAGTATATGTATTCTATCCGTTACCCTAGCATCCCATAACACATGCCTTACAGTGCTTACTTTGGGGCTAGGCTAATTGGTGTGAGTGTCGGAAATATAAAAAAAAAAATACTTTACCTGCTGTTACACTTGATGTTATATTCTCCTTATTACAACTGGAATACCACCGTACTTGAAGATTTATTTACCATTGATACACTTCACCATTCCTATACTCCGTTTACCTCTCATTAATAACATTATTTCAGATATTATCCTCTATTGTATATGTAATATTCATTCATCATCATCATCAGCCTATAAATGTCCCCACTGCTGGGGCACAGGCGTCCCTATGGATGGAATAGGGAGATTGGGCCATGACCCACCACGCGGGCCCAGTGCGGATTGGCGGGTGCTAACGACTGCAGATGCAGCCGGGACCAACGGCTTAATGTGCCTTCCGATGCACGGAGGAACTCGAGATAGTATTTTTTTGGTCACTCATCCAATTGTCCGACTACTGCAAAAGTTGCTTAGCTTCAACGATCGCAGCCGAACGCGCTAACCACTTGCGCCATCGAACTCCTCATATATTCATTCATTGGGTATTATTTACCTTCAATCAGGCTTAAACTGCACACACATCAGGTATACATTTCTCTGCCTTCTGCAGGGGGATTCCGTTAAATAAAATCTCACTTCCGATTTTGGTAGCTACCATTTTAGACATGAGTTTGATATGCATTACGCCATTACACGGCAAAATGTCGCTGAAGTCTGAAGTACGTCCGACTGCGTTCCACACATCTTCTTTCTCGAGTCAACGGCTGGTATCGGATATAAGCTAATAGGGTATTTGGCAAGTTTTAGAAAACGATCTCACGTTATTGACTAATGTTTATGGAGTCCGTAAAAAGTGGATATTCATCATTCTGTTGTGTATTTCAGTAAAAATAACCAAATCAAAAACTCCATTTTCAAGTTGCCGCGAAAACGTTTCTCTGGACAATATGGCGTCTTACTAGTGTGTGACGTCACACGACTGTTATTAAAACGTCAAACGATACAATGTAATGTCACTTTAACCGGACGTAACCGGACGACCGGACCGAAAATATGAATATTTTTTTTGTAAAGATATTAATAACCCCTGCCAATATTCATTCTAAACACAGATGCTAACAATTGGCACTTTATTTTTAATACTGTCAAATACCCTATTGAATTAAATACATTCATTTATAAAAATATTGCATCATGTTTTTTCTGAATAAATTTTACATCACAAGGGTAGTGACAGTCTCAACTTTAGTCGGACTTAAAACTTAATTGTCTTCCCTGAGTGTGGCTATATAATATCGAGTGTTTCCTTGAAGGAAGCTGTTAGTGATAAAAGGTCTGAAGCCAATCAATTGATCTGACATCCCCAGTGAGGTATTAGAGTATCTACCTATGAAACTAATGTACACAAGAACATCACGTTGTCATAACATTGACATAATAACATAATACTGGTGATCCTCCATTATCACCAATATATACCATTCGACCTTAACACCAATTTATGCCACTCAACTTTCCAAGATAAGTTCTAAAGTTCAACTCTATAGATATCGTCGCTGACAGTTTTTTTGTAATAAACGTATATGTACGTATGGGTATTTTTGTGTTTTGGAAAGGCATTATACATTTTTTATATTTTTATGTTTAAATAAATGATAAGCCACCTAACAAGCCGATTTGGCACCTGGAAGAGCACTACTTAATAAATATGCCAGTGCCACTTTGATTTTCAATTTGATTTGAGTGCACAGTGATTTTCAACTCCGCCATGTCAAAAACCTGCTTGGCAATATCACCCAAAGTGGAAGGAAGCATAAGATACAAAGGAAAAGAAAGTGAAAGTGAAGTTGATGCAGGGGCGGTTATAAGAGGGATATAAATTAAAAAAAAAAATTTAAATTATTTCTAATATCCTATAATTTTGAAATGTACCAATTATTTATTTTGAATTTAGTTGTAGCTTTATCCCAATTGATGAAATACTTAAATGTTTTCGATAAACCCTGTCAATATTTATGTATGGAACTGCAAAATAATCAAAGCCACCTACAACATACACAGTGCCGTCTTTGACCTATTGGGGGCCCTGGGCATATTAGGATAATGGGGCCTCTTAACCTCCATTTGGTGATTTAACAACTAACTGAACTGAACTAGGGACTTTGTATTTGACCTTAGGGGGGGCCCCTTTCGATCGCGGGGCCCTGGGCACTTGCCCAAAGTGCCCACTGGGAAAGAGGGGTTTGAACATATACTAAATAATATGCAAAACTCCCTTATTCCAAAACGTGGATATAAGTTAGTCTTGGTTTAAACCTAATGTTGTGTCTGTCTTCTTTTTAGCAAACAAATGTGCTGATGCATTTTAGCCCACGTTTAACTTTAGTAATAATACATATAACATTTTGTATAATAAGATGGAAAGTTAGTAGTCGGTTAACTTTCGTCAGGTTTCGGCAAGTTCAACGTTATTTCGTTCTTGCTGTGCAGCAGCATCATCATGGGCATGGCATTCGAGCTGTTCTCGGTGTCGTACCTGGTGCCGGCCAGCGCCTGCGAGCTGATGACCACCAGCAACCAGCAGGGGCTGATGGCTGCTGTGCCACTCATCGGTGAGTAATTGTGACCTAGGTAAAACTATTCCACACAACTGCACCATTTTACAGAACCATCATCGGCCCATGCTCGTCCACTGCTGGACTTGGGTCTCCCCTAATGTACGCCACTGCTCCCGATTTTCTGCCACTCTCATCCAGCCCACTCCAGCCAGCCTACGAATGTCATCATCCGATCTTATCTCAGGGCGTCCCACACTACGTTTACCGAGTCACGGTCTCCACTCAAGAACTTTATTGCTCCATCGGCCGTCAGTTCTGCGGCTAATGTGACCAGCCGACTGCCACTTCAGTTTGCTAATTCGGTGGGCTATGTCGGTGACTCTGGTTCTCTGTCGGATTACATTATTTCTGATGCGGTCCTTCAGGGATACTCCGAGCATAGCCTTTTCCATAGCTCTCTAAGCGACTTTAAACTGGTGGACCAGTCCAGCCGTGAGTGTCCACGTCTCGGCGCCGTATGTCATAACTGGGAGGACGCACTGGTCGAAGACTTTCGACTTGAGACATTGAGGGATGGATGACGAGAAGACTTGATGGATGGATGACGAGAAGAACCGCCTGGCCGTAATTATTACCTTCAGATTTTTTTCAAAATTACATTGGACTTGTCTCCTCAAGAGGAGTATTGAAGAGAACCTTGCGTCTTTATAAAACTTGAAAATTGTTCACTGGATATTTTGGGGCTTTTGTATATTTAATGTTACCTATTTTACATTGTATTTTACATGTGGTGGTATTAGATCTCAGTACATGTTTATAAGTTTGTATGTCAGCTTTCAATTTGAAGTCATTGTATGAAATAATACAGGAAGGAAAAAGCAGCCCTTGCTGAGTTTCTTGCCGGTTCTTCACAATACAAAGTCTCCCGCCGTAGATTTGCGAATCGATGGCGAAGCTTTTCGACATTCACAAGTGCTTGTAACAGCCTAGACTGAATAAACGATATTGAATTTTGAATTTTTACCTAGATTGTTATAAAGTTTTTTTTTCAACATATATTGTTTTTATCCTGTTGCACAAAAGTGAAATGGTCGAATCAAGAAATAGACATATTACGAGGTAATTTTTAAGTAGGAGTAGTCAAAACCAGGAATGGTCGTATGCAGAGGCAGTCATTTCAAGAAGTGGTCTCGAAACGTCAATCCCGTCTGTCGGGATGACGCGGCCTAAAATGGTGCACACAGCTGAGCGTCCTATGCCTATGTGCATTAGTTCACTTGCAATTTGAATGTAGCGAGATTCAAGATCAAGAAACAGAGAAGCCGATAGCAAAGTCATTTCAGTACCAGTTCGTTCGATCGCAGTCAAAACAAAAAATTGTAAAGTAAAAAAATTGTTTTCCTTAATTTAAATGGTACCATAAGCATTACTTGTCAAAATTTGTTAAAACAAATATTTTATTTAAGATGAGTGAGTTGAGACTGCGCAAATTTTAATATAACGTTGAGTTGACACGAAGCGTCACCACGCTTAAGCTATTCAAATAATATCATTAGTGGTGCTTACAGAAGCAACAGCGAAAAGTCTGTATAATTAATCATTATTTATTAATTTTCACACAAGATAACATATTAATATGAAATGTTAGAATTCTAAAACATCAATTAAATCTGATTTGGTGATTTGTCTCAACTTAACATGATTAGAAAGCCACCAAGTATTACCGCATTCAAGTATTGTCTTGACATCTCTTGACTCGATGGCGCCAGTGGTTAGCGCGTTCGGCTGCGGTCGTTGAAGTTGAGCAACTTTCGCAGTGGTCGGTCATTGGATGGGTGACCAAAAATTTACTATCTCGAGCTCCTCCGTGCTTCGGAAGGCACGTTAAGCCGTTGGTCCCGGCTGCATCTGCAGTCGTTAGCACCCACCAACCCGCACTGGGCCCGCGTAGTGGGTCATGGCCCAATCTCCCTAATCCATCCACAGGGAAGGCCTGTGCCCCAGCAGTGGGGACATTAATAGGCTGATGATGATGATGATGATGATCTTTTGACTATTTACTTTACTGTTATGAGTATAATATTTATTTAGTATTTTTAAGCATTTTAGTTGCTGGTTACCAATAAATAAATAAATATTACAACACTCACACCAATTAGCCTATCCCCAAAGTAAGCACTATAAGGCTTCTGTTATGGGATGCTAGGGTAACGGATAGAATACTTATACTGTACATAAATAAGTATATTTATATAGAAAATACATATTAAACCTCCATGATTGGAGTACAAATGCTCGTATTCATCACACAAACATCTGCCCCCACCGGGATCGAACCCAGGACCTCTCGAGTCGGCGACACCATGAAATCCGGCGTACAAACCACTCGGCCACGGAGGTCGTCAATTTAAAGACAATTTTTTGTACTTTATATTGTTATTAGTATTATTATGCAATGTATGACCTTATTTGAATAAAGATATATTTATTATTATTATTATTATATAGTGTGGGACGTCCTCAAGCACGATGGAGTGACGATTTGCGCAAGGTGGCTAGCAGGAGCTGGATGCGAGTAGCCCAAGATCGATCTGAGTGGCGTGCAATTGGAGAGGCCTATGTCCAGCAGCGGACTAGGATAGGCTGTTGATGATGATGATGATTGCAGTATTGTTATCATCACGATAAAAAGTCAAAGTTACATTCGCATGTAAAAAAATCAGTATTATCTCTTATCTATTAGACAAGTCCGTCCGTCCGTCAGTGGTGCTGTTTCAGCGGCCAAACTGTAAGAGATAGATAAAGAGAATATTTAAGTTATAAGTTAAGAATAGTCTGATAAGACTACAAACCGGATTTGAGTAACGTAGCATTTCCGGTTTTCGAGAAATCACGAATTTCAAACGAAACCACACAAAATCTCCGAAGTTCTCAATTAATTAAATACATTTTTTTTAAAATCAGGTTTTGGTGAACATTTGGTTCACTGGTTTGCTAGTCATCTCTAATGTGTTACATACCCCACTGCTGGGGCAAAGGTCTTCCCTATGGATGAAATAGGGCAAATAGGATTTTGCCCGTTTGAGAGTTGAATACTTGCTAATATCTAATAGCGGTTTTATTTTGTGACTAGGTGTGATCGCGACTTCCCACTTCTGGGGCTACTTGGCCGACACCAGAGGCAGGCGGAAGGTGCTCTGCTTCTCCATGACCCTCAGCTTTATCGCTGGCGCATTGGCAGCCTTCTCTCCCGACTGGATTACATTTAGCATTCTAAAGTTTCTGTCGTCGAGCGCGTAAGTTTTTTAGTGGTGATGTTGAAAATTCGTTGACACATTGAGATTTGTTATTCAACTGAGGATAAACTTTGATGATAAAGAATATATATTTATAGAATGATGCATGAGAATTTCTAAATTTAGTTTAATATTTAATATATTATATATACCCACTCTACTATACTACTACGAGGAGCTCGATGGCGCAAGTGGTTAGCGCGTTCGGCTGCGGTCGTTGAAGTTAAGCAACTTTCCCAGTGGTCGGTCATTGGATGGGTGAAAAAAATTGACTGTCTCGAGCTCCTCCGTGCTTAGGAAGGCACGTTAAGCCATTCGTCCCGGTTGCATCTGCAGTTGTTAGCACCTACCAATCCGCACTGGGCCCGCGTGGTGGGTCATGGCCCAATCTCCCTATTCCATCCATAGGGAAGGCCTGTGCCCCAGCAGTGGGGACATTAATAGACTGGTGATGATGATGATGATACTGAAAAGGATGTGACACGTCAATATATAAATAAATTATTCAGTGCATCTATACCGTTGAAACTTGTTTTACTTAATAAATAAAATCAGTCAAATTTTATTTTCAGTGTCTCTGGAGCATTTGCTTTATCTATGACACTACTTAGCGAAATAACGCCTGAAGCGAAGAGGTCCAATCTGGTCATCTTAACTTCTTCCGTCTTCCTCTGCTGCAATGGTTTTATGGCTAGTGAGTATATTTGAATTGGAAAAAATTGCATAATCGAAAATATTGACCAATCACAAATATGTGTCGTCAACCTGAAGCGAAGAGGTCCAATCTGGTCATCTTAACTTCTTCCGTCTTCCTCTGCTGCAATGGTTTTATGGCTAGTGAGTATATTTAAATTGGTAAAAAATTGCATAATCGAAAATATCAACCAATCACAAATATGTGTCGTCAATACGATAAGCTGCATAAGGAACATTCTTCCTTGGACATTTTGATTTTTTGTAGTCGGCTTCTTGAAGAAATCCAACGAATAATACTTCATTAACAAAAAGAAAATCGGTTAATTTGTACTTTTATTTAAGTGTTGGTTTTTTGTTGTTTAGTTGTTGAAATTCGATTTAAATATTTTTCTTTTATGTAAACTTCAGCCCATAAAATTTTATCATGTTATGCCCACATATTTAAAGTTACAGTTTGGTTTTACATTATTGTAATTGCTTTGTTTTTTTAATATTTAATTGTAGTTTGTTTTGTGAGCTAATATAAAAAAAAAGATATATACATTACTAACAACGCTTATTTATTAGGCAGTATCTGATTGTACAGCCTACAAACACTTGCTACAATGTACGGTATTACCTACTCGCGCATTGCCTACTCTGACCATATCCTCAAGAACTTTACTCATCAACGGAAACACAACATCAGCCAAACTGTGATGCTATGCCACGTTGTTAAATGGTCCGATGACGTGGCTTTTAGTACATGTCATCTTATCTCCATTTTGTTAACATTACTTAAGTTATGGTTTTGTCTTTTTTTTTCTCCCATTTTGGTGTATTCAAATTTTCGTAGGCAAAGAGCCGAGCCCATACAGCCTCTTGTGTTATTTTTATTTTTTTATTTTGTGTATTATGTGATTGTCTTGTATTTCCGTCCGTCGATGTCCAAATTAGGTCTCTCCAGAATATCAGCGTTGCAGCGGCAATCCATTTTTGCCGTTGCAACATTATGCTGAGGTGGGGCCTAGTTGACGATGTACCTTTTGTTTTATATTTGTTGTGTATTTATTGTAATTGTTAATGTATGTCGTCAATAAATGTTTTTCTTTCTTTCTATTTCATTGTGATCTTCTGTGCGGAGGTTAATTCCCGCTAACGGTTACGGTATTTTCGATGATGCAATTCGAGCGGGGTTTCCCCTACCCAACTTCTCGTGGGATTCCCGCTATCGATTTATTAACCTTTTTTTTTATTTTTGGGAAAATGCTTGACGCTTACCCCGCTCCTGGGTGAGAGGCGGGGTTATGTGGAACTCTTCCTCCCTCCAAATCCCGCCCACCCGCTCAGCCAAACTGGCTCAGCGGCTGCTCGAGACAAGGGGGGGTCCTACCCACTAAAACGCAACAGTGCTTCCTCGCCTACCGGAACGGGTTTCGTGGGATCCTGGTGATTCTCCACGTTACCCCCGGCAGGGGTTCCTCCTCCTCCTGGCGGGAGGGGGATGCCCGGAAGCACCTAGGCATCCTCTCTCGACGGGATCGACTTATTAACCAGCTCAAGGCCGTTTTTTTTATTGCAACTCAGTCTATTACCAAGTGTTGAATAAAACAATATTTCAGAAGCGTACAATAATTTATTCTTCTGTAACCACTCGTTTAACAATCCACTCAGCTTTGTAATTACAGAACGTCCGGCCTCGCTCGATGTCAGGAAAAAAGTGAGTGCGCTAACAACAACAAATCCAAAGGTAGTCCCCAATTAAGAAAAATAACATTCTAATACAGTGTTTCCTAACCTTTCCAATACTGCTACCTCTGTAACCTATTAGGAAAACAGATTTTACCCCGACTTTAAAATGTTATCATCAGTCCAAGAAATTCCAATTTTGCCGCTACATCTTCGTCTCTACTAATGTCATCATCAGGAGATAATCTCGCCCCGCTTCCCACACTCAGCACCCCGCGGGCTCACTAGCAAGTAGGAGCGCATGCTCTATTTAGTAGTATTATTTAGATTAGACCAAATAATTAGGTTCTTTGTTATCCCCCAAGTATGGCTGATTTACCAGCTAACACAGGACAATTAAAGTTTCAATTGTTTATTTTTAACATTAACGTTCTTTCACAGTTATCGCTATTCCTGTGCTTCCATTGAAATTCTCCTATTACGTGCCGTTACTCAACATCTACTTTAACTCTTGGAGGGTCCTGAATCTTATCTACAGCTTGCCCTGTGCTTTGAGCGTCATCGGTTTGTACTACTCGTACGAGAGCCCAAAGTTCTTACTCAGTGTCGGCAAAGAAAACGAGGCTCTGAAGATAATGGAAACTGTTTTCGTCATTAACAACAACAAGAGCAGTGACGAGTATCCTGTAAGTACTCTTATTGATAAGGAGATATTTGTTTGCTTTGCACTTAACTACAATCTTTGCATTTTGACGCCAGAAGTCTTTAAAATGATCGATGAGATGAGATGATGAATGAATGATGAGATGATGATGATGATCCTTTCTGGTGTTTTGGTCATCTTTCCTTTTGGTGATTTGAGAAACTGGCGATAACGGTCAGGTCAAGTAAAGGAGATGTCGAAATCTAGAACAGGAATATATAAGTATATATAGGTTAATATATAGATTAATATAAAGGTTCTATCAAATTGAGATTTTTAATTTTTTCAGGTGAAGTCAATGGTTTTGGACGAATTGTATGCGACACATAACGCTAAAGGGTTCTTCGCATCGATAAAGTGTCAAACCATACCACTGTTTAAGCCTCCACTACTGAGGAATACGATACTGCTATCAGTGACCTTTATTATCGTATATATTTGGTGAGTACAACTTGATATTGTACCTAATTGTTTTAGGATTTGATGAATTTCCTGGTCGATAGGAAAGTGCGCTGGAGTTTTTACTCTTAAGTCCTGGACCCCGTTTATTGTTCTAAGTGGAAACTTTAATTTTGTCCTGGGAGATAGGTTATTCAGCACTTTTCCTATATGAGGGTGATAGGCTTCATTATTTTAAGATTAGTAAGCGTATAAAATTTATCGAGTGTGCGTTAATTTTTTTCTTAAAGCTTAGCTTAGTTTTTGATTTAAATTAACACTAGCGGCCCGCCCTCGCTTCGCTTCGGTGTAGAGCTGAAGTGTAGACTATAGTTTTTGTACTCAGGCTTGTATTATACACAATGATATTCATCTATGATTCTTCTTATACCACCATGCAAAGTCTCAGCCCGATCGGTTTAAAATTGACAAACTTTCATTCCCTATTTTATCTCCTTGGGAGTAGAACTGATCAAAATCCTTTCTTAGCGGATTGCTACGTCATAACATCTACCTGCATGCCAAATTTCAGCCCGATCCGTCAAGTGGTTTGGGCTGTGCATTGATAGATCAATATGTCAGTTTTATATATATAGATGGGACTTGAAAATAAATCAATATTATGATTGACTATTATATCCCGATTCCCACTTTTGTATAAATAAAGTAGCATAGCATTCTTCTTGAAATGAGTTCAGACATTTTTTTCATTGTAATCTTCTGTGTTCCAGCATGCATCCACATATGGTGTGGCTACCATACATGACAGACGGTTTCATGACGTCCGTCCAAAGGGGAGAACACGGAATCAACTTCTGCCAGAGGCTGAGGAATTCACAGAACGATACTGTGGTTCAGGTGATAAACCAGTTGATGTTATTTTATTTTATTAAAATACTTAGGGCCAATTGAACCAACAATCTTAACTTAAAAGCTTCATCTAGTTTCGCTATGTTATTTAAATTACTTCATGAGTTTAGCACATCACGTCATCCCTGTGAAGTCATTATTATCATGTCAACCATATGACGCCCACTGCTGCACAAATGCCTCGTCTACCTGCGCCACTCGCATCCATCGGCTTCCTGCTACCTTTATAAGATCGTCGGTCCACCTCGTAGGAGGTCTGCCAACTGAGCGTCGTCCGGTGCGTGGCCGCCATTCAAGAACCTTTCCGCCCCAACGGCCATCGTTTCTTCTTGCTACGTGTCCCGCCCACTGCCAAGTGGCAGGATGCTCTGCTGAAGTCAGCAGAGCAATCCTTCGAGCGATATCGGTTACTTTGGTTCTGCTACGGATTTCCTCTTTTCTGAATCTGTCTCATAGGTAAGAACCGAGCTTAGCATTCTCCATTGCGCCCTGTCAAGTTTTGCATGTCAAAGAGATTGAGATAAAACCTCGAACGTTATCTAATTAGGTTGTTGATCTTACTTGGATTAAACAGAACCAGGATTAAAAAAATATTTTCTTTTACAACTTTGGGTTTTATTCTTTACAATTTATCGGGCGTATTGTTTAAAGAATTTTGTTTTTTATACTTAACAGGTGATAGTAAAGAAATCATTTGTAAATTTTATAAGTAATTTATTTTCCAGATATTAAATGCAGTGTTTTGTTATTATTCATTATTTAATTCAATAATATTTTATTATATTGAAGTTGTCAATGTCTGTATCATAGACATTTAAATGTGTTGATAGTTTTCTTATCTTAATTGTAGAACAAGAATTAAATCTTTTGTTTCCCAACGGAAGCAGTAATAAATAAGATTACAGTATATATCATGATAAGTTATGTAGAATTTATTATTTTATAATTTTTAGGATTATGTTGTCACACTTTGGATTCAGACTTTATCGTTCGTTATCCCTTTGTCTGTATTTCAAGAACTTAAATAGTTAAACACAATTTTTACAGAACTTTGTGGGGCTAACGAGCTAACTGGTTTGCCTCCTATAATATATATATAAAAAAAACAAAGTTTTGACATGCCTTCCAAAGCACGTAGGATCTCCAAATATTTTTTTGTATTATCCATCCTACGAGCATGATTGGTCAGTGTTCAGTTTCATACTAATGTATAAATATGGTATAATTATTAAGATGGATGACGACTGTTCGTTGAATGAGTTCGCGCTGACCATGGTGTTCGCTGTGGGTCTCCTGCTGGCGCTCATCAACACTATCGTCAGTACAATTGTCAACATCTTCGGCAGGAAACGTTTACTGATAACAATCCAGGTAATTAATATATTACTGAGGTAACGCTTGAAACGGTAGATCTTGCGGGAATCGCGGTTCCATTATATGTAGGTGGAAATTTAGGACTGTCAAAAATATATAAGTCGATGTGTAATGTTCTAAGCTGTGACATTAAAAACTATGTAAGCCTAAATGTAAGTTAAAGTAAGGTCAATGACGATGGCGATCTTGAAATATCAAAGACTAACCTTTACTCCCATTAATAAACGAGGAATAATCTTAGTCTAGTTAAGCCGTGTTTTGTTCATATCTCCCAAATGCCATTTGTCATTCGATGAATGAGGGGGTTAGAGTACGAGGCGTTGAATATAAATTAAGTAGGGTCAGAAACTTTGTCAGAGCTATACAAATATTTAACAACATTAATATGCTTTTTAAACCTTCTAATGATTTTGAAATTAACGCCAGCTGTTGAGACAGAGGAGAAATCTTCATTTGTTTCAGCTATAGGCTGAGTGGTTATATTGCAGCTTCACTTATATAATAATACGTGTTAAAGTAAGATTAAATTTAAATTTCAAAGGCACTATCACTCTATTCCTTAGTTGAAATGGTATCCGCATTTTCAATGATTGTATAAATAAAATAATGTCTATTTCGTCCAGTTAATTGCGGCTACTGCTGCTCTCTGCGTGAACTTCACCACGACTTGGTACCTCAGTGGCATCCTTATCATCACCTTCATCTCTGGAGTCTTAAACTTCGGGTTGCTGTCCAGCTTCTGTGTTGATGTCTACCCAACTTATGTCAAGTACGTTATTTATTACTTTCTTTAGAGAAGTAATTAAACTAAACCTATTGTTTACACAAACAAATTTGTTGTTGAGGTGTTTTAGTAGTAGGTACTACCTACTACTAAAACACCTCAGCGTTATTATTACCACGGTAAATTACTGTGGTATTACTATTATGTTGTGGAGTTTCTTTCACAAGTTCTTGTTAGATTATTCAAATATGTTGTTTTATAATTACTTCCAAATATGAATAAAAAAAAACAGTCAGTTTATTTTACGACGTTAACTTTAGCCACCTTCTTCTTATTGCTTACCTTGCCATCGCAAATTTTTGGAATTTCATCTACTTAATGGTCTAAAATTTGTGGGTTAATTCAGTAAATTAATTAATCTTGAATTTGTTTCCCGCAAAATTGTATTCTCTCTTCATTTTTTTTGGTCTTGTTTCTGCAAAAAAATAACAATATAATATTGCCGCAAAATGATATATAAATTTTACTAACCTTTTTTTTAGAGCTATGGCAGTATGTTTAACGCTGATGATGGGTCGTGGCAGCGCAGTGTTAGGAGTAAACCTTCTAAAGTATATGTTGGACAACCACTGCGAAACTTCATTTTACGTCTTCGGCAGTGTTGCCTTAGGTAAATTTACTACTTTAATACAAAACATTACGGAGATCCCAAAACTCTTAAAGTGACTAAACATTCAGTGTTATTAATTTGGGTATTGTTGAATTCTAATATTCATTGAAAGTATTTAATGACTTATGTGATTTTATGCCCTATACTTATATAGGTATATAAGTATTTATATACTTTGTGGGATAAATGGAACATTAACCGGTTTCTAAGGTTCGATGGGACTGAGATGTTTTATAAGAGTTCTGATATAAAATCTAAACATTTGAAATATAGTTTGAAAGAGGCGGCTACGATAATTAATATCACTAATTGACTCCATCTTAATAATTGTTGTATGGAACTAATGTACGTAACCAGAATTTTTAAGATTTTTATCTACCAGCAGTATTCAGTATAATTAGTTACCTACACTTTGTACAAGTATAGAAAATTTCTAAAAAAAACAGTAAGATATAGGAAGTGTTCAGTAATTTTATATAACATGGTTCAATATCATAAAATGCATTATTTTTTGTTTTTTCAGTTGCAGCGGTGCTTGGTTTTCTATTACCAAGTGAAGCGAAGCCACCGTTAAGGGATGTCTATGAAAAAGATAATATTTCAACTTGAAGGCAATTCGAAGTCCGTAGCCAAATGAAATCTCTTAAGATCATGGACCTGGGATTTCGATACTTGGTCCAAGCATAAAATTAATAAAGCACAATTTATGCGTTCATTGTCTGTGATTTGTGGAATAGTTAAATTTACAATAATTAGGTTGTTAGATTATGAAAGAATTTATTATTCGAAAAGAGATTGTTAATACGTAAGCATTAATTGACGATGCACGTCTCGTTTCTTAATCATCATCTCGTTCTTAAGCCAAATCTTTACAAAAATTACTTACTTAAAATTAAATTACCGACTTACTGTGGCCACTATTCCTACACTAACAAAGAAATTTGGTGACTCATTTCTTTGTCGTACTATTATACTAAGTAGAATTGTTTGCCATCGTACGTGTTCCGTCCTTCCTACAATCTGGGGTCCTTTAAGAGAGACGTGAAGAAGCATTTTTTCAGGTCGGCAATGTGAGGATGGTTGGTGTAGCAGTTTATAACTGCTGTACCAGCTATCTTCGCGTTTGGACTTTATCACCACTTAACATCAGGTGGGGTAAAGTCATTAGCCTACCTCGCTAGAAAAAATGGCTTCATTAGAGGCAGCCTGGTGGTGACTCAAGATGTCTGTCACCGGTTGAGCTTGAAACGGTTTGAGGATTTAGTAAATGTTATGAGTTTTATTGTTTTTGCAAATCTGTTGTTTTTAGTTTGTATTGTCCATGATCAAAGCCGTTCGCTCAGTGCGTTCATTACTGCTCAAATGGAGACGTAGGATTGCACAAGGCTCAAAAGTCACAGCTAAATGGCTTAAGTAAAGATGTTTGCAGGTAATGTCTCCTCTGAAGTCTCGACTCAAGGTTGCTCTGGAGATCCGCCTTAAAATAATGAAAGAGCGGCCTCTTTAAATACGCTTCTCGCTTTCTTATGTTTATGAAATTTTATCAAACAGAATAAATATATTAAACAAATAATTCGTTGATAAATTTTGTTTTAAGTCATTTTTATCCCGGCTATGTTATAAAATGACAGAGAAGTAAACCTTATTTACATAAAATTTAAAGAGAGTAGTTATAAATGAATCCACCTGAAATAAACTTATGATATCTATACCGGTCCATTGTTTTTTTTATTTATAAAAATCTAGTAAGTAATTAAAATTAAAAAAAATACAATAAATTGTATTAGAGGTTATAATAAACGAATTCAAGATAACCGGTGCAGTTTCATTTTACTGTTTTGTTTATTAAATTAAAGTCTTTCACGTTGGGCTGGCGGAGAAAGTTAAAGTCGATGCCACTTTTTTTCAAAAGCAATTTTTACCTAACAGCCTATTATTGTTCTGGATGCATTTCACCTCCAGCTGGTGAAATAAAGCCCGCATCCAGAACAGTGATAGGCGGTTGGGTAAAAACAAAAAATGGCATCGAGGAGGCAGGCCACTGTAAATGCTTCTATTATTAATTATTATATTGTTGACACCTATGCGTAGCACTGTAAGATCGTGAACTTTACGCCCAGAGGCTTATAGTCCAGTCAACAAGTTCAAAAACCTGAAAAATAGAGATAAAGCTCCTAAAAATATGAGCAATAGCTCATTGGATTCGGAACGACCTCTAGAAAAATGAGTTTTGAGGATTTTACTGCACGTAAAAAATTGCAATTGTTATTAACAAAATAAGATGAAAAAGAAGAGGTATTTACGTTTTTGTTAATAACTCATAAACTATTAATATTTACGATATTTGGAAAAAAGGTCCTTAAAGAGGAGGAAATTTCCAAAAAAAAAGTCCCAGCTCCCGGAACTCTACCTCTATTATTTATAATTTTAATTTAACGCTGAAAATAGGGCTCCGCGCAGCCATTACGGCATGGGCGCACTGCCGTTAAAGACAGTTTCTTACATAAAATTATTTTTTTATAGTAAAAAATATGAATTTAAAAATTTAAATAAATTATGGTGTCATCCAGATACTTGAAAGAATATATTCCCGTTGGAAAAAATTTTTTAAATTAATTTTTCAAAAAGTTATGCAATTGTTAATTAACGAATTTTTTTCCTATCTCCGTTTTCATAAATGACGACATAAAAATTTAAATAATAAACCTATAAATTTTTGGCTCTGTGGAGCTCTTCTTATATATATACTTAACAAGATCCCGTGATAAAAGTTTATTAAAGTTAATTATTTTGTTTATAACAATTTTTTAAAGTTAACAAAAAATGAAAAGTGTAAGAAATGTTATTAAAAAATTTTTTTTAAACAAATGTTATATTATTGCTGCTTTCTTATCCAACAATGGCATTAAGTAACATCGGAAAAAATTTTTTTACATCATTTGTTAAGAAATTGTTTATAAACAAATAGACAAGTTTAATAGTTAAAGAAATTTTTTTTTACCATTATGTTGTCTTGGCAAAATAATGATTTTTTAAAAAAAAATTCTTAAATAATTTTTTTTATTGTTTATAATCGTTTTTTTTATATTTCGATTGTTTAAATAATTAGTTAAGGAATGATTTTCTCTTTAAAAATCATAATTGGCATTTCTTCATAGGTAAATAGAAAAAAAAAATTTTTTTATCAATAATTTCATTGTTTGTTAACTTAACAATTTGTTATAAACAAATTCTAACTACCGTTATATTTTTTTTCTAGAGCTAAAAAAAATAACAAAAACAGCCATATCAAAATACTAAAAAAAAAATTTTTCTATTTTTTATAACGCTTTTAAATATTACACGATACCAAAGCTGCACCGGACACTTGATTTGTCAAGTAAAAAATTAATATAACTTATAAACTATTCGAGATACGATAATGGACATTCAGGTCGTTTTTATAAAGCATTAATTAATCTTCAAAATAAGCTAAAAACCAAGTTTGTAACTATTGTTTATCAGCTAATACATGCATTTGTTTATAAAATTTTGAGATTTCTTTAATTTTTTCGTATCTCTTATGACTTACAACTTAATAAATAATTAAAATACAGCTATAAACCTAAAACAATTTTGTTTAGCGATACATTATCTCCCAAATTATCAATTAATCGTACCTCCATCTCTAATTGTTTAAACAATATACGTGATTTAATTAATATTTATTTAATATTTATCTAACACTTACCTTCATTTTGTAATTTTTTAATTTTCTCTACATTATTATAAGTTATTATAGCTTCTAAGTGAAACTGATTTTATCATTTATTTAAATAAATAGTTTCTTCGATGTCATTAAGTATATTTTTTTCATATTTTTTGTAGTTTGATCTGCCGTATCTTCTAAATTTTTACATGTAAACCATATTTTTATATATTTTATTATAATTAAATAGAATTACATTTATTGGTATGAAAAAAATATTAGAAATAATATTAGGATAAAATGGATTTATAAAATAAAAGTCACTGTTTTATAATAATAATTCTAAATATATTTGAGGAAATAATACAATGCAATAATACAAATTCAAATAGTTCGTTTCCTTCTTTTCTTTAAGGGAGGGATTGCAGAACAGCTTGGTCTATCGAAGTTTTGAACTGGACTAGTTGACACCTTTTCTGTCATATTAGAGATGGAGGTACGATTAATTGATAATTTGGGAGATAATGTATCGCTAAACAAAATTGTTTTAAGGTTTATAGCTGTATTTTAATTATTTATTAAGTTGTAAGTCATAAGAGATACGAAAAAGTTAAAGAAATCTCAAAATTTTATAAACAAATGCATGTATTAGCTGATAAACAATAGTTACAAACTTGGTTTTTAGCTTATTTTGAAGATTAATTAATGCTTTATAAAAACGACCTGAATGTCCATTATCGTATCTCGAATAGTTTATAAGTTATATTAATTTTTTACTTGACAAATCAAGTGTCCGGTGCAGCTTTGGTATCGTGTAATATTTAAAAGCGTTATAAAAAATAGAAAAATTTTTTTTTTAGTATTTTGATATATATGGCTGTTTTTGTTATTTTTTTTAGCTCTAGAAAAAAAATATAACGGTAGTTAGAATTTGTTTATAACAAACTGTTAAGTTAACAAACAATGAAATTATTGATAATTTTTTTTTTTTCTATTTACCTATGAAGAAATGCCAATTATGATTTTTAAAGAGAAAATCATTCCTTAACTAATTATTTAAACAATCGAAATATAAAAAAAACGATTATAAACAATAAAAAAAATTATTTAAGAATTTTTTTTTTTAAAAAATCATTATTTTGCCAAGACAACATAATGGTAAAAAAAATTTCTTTAACTATTAAACTTGTCTATTTGTTTATAAACAATTTCTTAACAAATGATGTAAAAAAAATTTTTCCGATGTTACTTAATGCCATTGTTGGATAAGAAAGCAGCAATAATATAACATTTGTTTAAAAAAAAAATTTAATAACATTTCTTACACTTTTCATTTTTTGTTAACTTTAAAAAATTGTTATAAACAAAATAATTAACTTTAATAAACTTTTATCGCGGGATCTTGTTAAGTATATATATAAGAAGAGCTCCACAGAGCCAAAAATTTATAGGTTTATTATTTAAATTTTTATGTCGTCATTTATGAAAACGGAGATAGGAAAAAAATTCGTTAATTAACAATTGCATAACTTTTTGAAAAATTAATTTAAAAAAAATTTTCCAACGGGAATATATTCTTTCAAGTATCTGGATGACACCATAATTTATTTAAATTTTTAAATTCATATTTGTTACTATAAAAAAATAATTTTATGTAAGAAACTGTCTTTAACGGCAGTGCGCCCATGCCGTAATGGCTGCGCGGAGCCCTATTTTCAGCGTTCAATTAAAATTATAAATAATAGAGGTAGAGTTCCGGGAGCTGGGACTTTTTTTCGGAAATTTCCTCCTCTTTAAGGACCTTTTTCCAAATATCGTAAATATTAATAGTTTATGAGTTATTAACAAAAACGTAAATACCTCTTCTTTTTCATCTTATTTTGTTAATAACAATTGCAATTTTTTACGTGCAGTAAAATCCTCAAAACTCATTTTTCTAGAGGTCGTTCCGAATCCAATGAGCTATTGCTCATATTTTTAGGAGCTTTATCTCTATTTTTCACGTTTTTGAACTTG